TAGTTCAATAAATAATTAAAAATTAAATATATTTTAATATTAAATTAATTTAAAAAATAATAGATTTAATTTTGATGGATGAAAAAAAACTAATTTAAATATACTTTAGCTGTAAATTAATAAATGAAAAACTAGCGATTATGAAGTAAATACTAGTGATAAAGTTGTTCAAATATGAGGTTTGCAATACCAAGTTAGTTGACTTATTGGCTAGACAAAAAAAAAAAAAAGCCTCTCAATTAAGTGCCGACAAGAAATATATTAAATTGCGTTCATAATGGTTTTGTTTTAGCAGGAAGAGGCTCAAATTAATGTCGGATGTTGAATTATATATACAATTAGACAGACGCTACTTCCATTTCTAAGCGCTAACCCTGGCCGCCTTTCAGCCTTTTCGAGTACTTCGCTCTTAAGATTTCAAAATAATTTTTTTTTAATTTTAATTTTAACCCGAATTCTTTGAAAATAGAATATAAAAAAGTAGAGAGAAATTTCAATATAGGCCCTCAATGTATTGTCAATTAGACCCTAAACCTTTTGATTTTATTAATAAACAACACTAGACATTGCACCACTCCATGCATCTACTGTTAATGATAATTAAATATTTTCGTTAAATTTACACGTGATCATTTATTATTTTCATTCAGAGTGTCAAAATAAATTTTAATTTGCTATAAGGGATAATTTATAGATGCCAAATTTTGTAGTAAATTTTTATTTTATACAACTTAATAGGAAAGTGGAAGGAAAAAAATTACTATGACTTAATACTAAAAGAAAGATCATGGCTTGATATGGCATATTAGATGAAAAAACTTAACAAACGCATATAAATTAGATAAAATATTATATCTATGCTATAAAAAATGGACGAGTGAAAAGATGAAATTGACTAATGTTGATTGTCATTTTAGGGATTATAACACACTAGATGGAAGAACTTGACGAGTTCATACAAATTGAATGGAATTTTCATATGCTATTAAAAAATGACAGGGTGATCGTTATCTAATGCTGGTTATCATTTAGTGGATAAAATTAAAAAATTTGAGACTCAATTGATAAAAAGACAAAACATTAGGTGCTAAATTGACGTTAAATTAAAAATATACATGCAAGGTTTGACTCGTGCACCCGTATATCTCTAGTTTATTGGCAACGAACTACTAATTATATTTGTCACAAGATCATTATTTTAAACCCTTCTTCTGCAGAGTTTGCAAATAAAACATGATATAGAGAAAGATAAGTATAAAATAGCTCCTCAATTTTATAATAATGGACGATTTAGTAAATGTAATAATAATACCACTTCTCTATCCTCTTAATAATTAACTATTAAAATTAATATTCTAATTATTTGATATGGGCTATAAGATTCTATATTTGGTAAAAAAAAAAAAAAAAAAAAAAAAGAGGAAAAAAAGGCTTTTGCAGCCCACTTTGATGGTAAAAAAAATCAAAGGAAAACAAATTCTTCAATTGAAAAGGATTTATTTATTTATTTTGTAATGGGACATCAAATAGATTTTCTTGTTATGTGCTTATACATAATAATATTTTTCTATCAATATTAATTTAATTAAACAAAGCATGCATCCTTATGCTCCTAAAAAATATTTGCCTTCGTCCCTCATCATGATTGTGCAACGATACATTGCTTTCAGTAAATAAAAATTATGAAGATGCAGTTTTTTCAAAAAAAAATAAAAAATAATAAAAACATTAAACATCGATATGAATTAATGTAAATGTGTAATCATCCCCCCACTCAATAGCCAAAGCACAAAAGCTAGCATAAGGTGTTTTCTGGTTGTGTTATACGCAGATATTAGAAATTATTCTGCCATTAAAAAAAAAATTAGAGATGTCAAATCTCAACTATTATTTTTTCGAGTAAATTATATATCAGTCCATCTGTTTTTTTTTTTTTTTAAATAATTATTTAGTCTTTTAACCATATTGCTGATAAGGTTTTAACTTATTTATTTTTAAAAAATACCATCTTTTCTCACTTTTTTTTATATTTTTACTTATGTCTTTTATTTTTTGTTTCTTAAAACCAAAAAAAAAAAAATCAAAATAAATTAAAAAAATTGAGTAAAACAAATTTTAAAATTTAATATAAAATTAAATAATTAATGTTGAAAATTTTAATTTAGCATAACACTAGATTTTTTACTAGTGCTATGTCTGCAGGTTAGACAAAATAAATAAAATTATTTTTAAAAAATTATTTCATTTTGATGTCCCGTTTTATATTATGCGTCTACCAAAATACATCAAATAAAAAATAAATAAAAATTCATTCAATTTTATAATTTTTTTAATCAAAATTTTGTATTTAACTAATTATTCTTTATATTTTTCATAAATGTTTTAATTAAAAAATATTATTTATTTATCTCCACCCACAAACTAAAATTTTTTTAATAGTATAAAAAATGTCAAAAGCACTGGATTCTTAGCTAAAATTTTATTTTGTATTTTTTAAAAAATATTTTTTACCTTAAATTTTTTTATTAAAAAATCAGAGAAAAAAGGACCAAAATAAAAAAATCATAGAAAAAAGGACAAAAGTGATTAAAATAAAATAAAAAAGAGAAACCAAAACTAAATAAAAAAAATTTACGGATTGAAAAAATAATATTTAAAAAAAGGATCAAAATATAATGTTATGAAAACTTTAATAATAAATGTTTATAAAATATTTAAAAAATATAAAAATACTGCTGTACTCGAGTCCGTGTGAATAATACATCTGAATCTCAATAAATAATGTTTCAAATAATGAATAAATAATAAATATTTATTTTATTTTAGTTTCATGTATAATATACGGCCTGTAATAGCAGAGGGCTAAGGTGGCTGGAGGCAGCCAGCCCCCTGTATTTCATTAAAAAATAAAAAATAAAAGGGCTTCCGTCGTGTAATGTCAAATAGGCCACCTTTTGTTCTATATTATTCTCTCTGCGTATACAAGCCCATTGTATTTTGCAAAATGTCGCTCTTCTGATGCCGACAAAAATAAAAAATCTACCTTTTTAGGTCAAGTGTCGAATTAAAGCCTTAAAAAAGTACTTCTACGTTAGACTTGATGAGCACAATTTCTTGCCGGCTTTTATTTTTTAATTCAAAGTATGCGACTCATGCATTCATAGCAGCCCACATGCCAAAATCAAGCTGGAATAGAGATATCACCTCAATATTGGGACAGTGGACAACCTATCGAGTGTTAAATTAAAAATAAAAACATACTTTTTCCATCTCGAAGAGATTTTATTTATGTTTCTTAATAAGCTGTTATGAAATTTCAGGAGCAAGCTAGAGAGAGAGACCAATTAATCCTCAATAAATTAATTTGATTTCAAACGTTCTTTCAGTCGTTGACATTTCGTGCGTTCTTGAAGGATTCCATTCAAATTTAACATCAGATAATAAATAGCAGTACAGTACCATTAAAACTAACATTAATTCAGATTGACCAACATAGCCAATCTGATTTTAGTCCTAGCAATAAGCACATACTATATACATTTGACCAGCATGACGAGACTACAGAATTCTTGATGATTAAATTGAACGTTTGAATCAAGTTCAAGTTTCGAGCTTCTTTTTTGACCCATAACAGTCTACCAAATCAAATCATAAAATGCTTTAAATGTTGGATTTTCAAAATCCAACCTCGTTGTGAATGCCACCATGTGTTTATGTTGTTCTCCATGACGTTTTTGGAAGAGCCCATTTTGGTAAATGGCCTAAAAGCGTATGACAAGACAAGCTACCCACCAAGTTGGGAAGTCACTGTCTCCTGTAGGCTGTCGTAGGCCTTGCATCGTGTTGGGCAGAAATTATTTTTTATTCATATAATGACGAGTGATTTTAATGATCCATTCCTATGTTAGAATGAAGTGGCTACGTGGTTTGGTATATAATTTTTTTTTTCCTTAAGTTATCATGTAAATTGGACCGATGGAATTAAGTTGGGAATGATGCGAGTGTTTTCTCTTCCCAATCCCCTTCCTTCCAACTTTTTATTTTATATGATTTGATTACTCAAATGGGAATTCATTATAAAACTCAAATAAAGCCCATCCATCATCTAAATGTTGATGATTTACTCTCTGGACAGATGGGCCTCAAATATAATTGGGCCACTTTACAGCAAATGGGCAGATATTCTTTTGGAAGCCTAATACGTATATACTAAGATGTGCAATAGATTAGACAATTCTTCCATTATCATTTCTTTTTGTTTTTCGAGTTAATTATAAACTTTTTTCTTTTTTATGAAAGAGTTAATTATAGCCTATTCCTTTTAGTTTAAAGAAGCTGATAAATTAGTTCTTATGTTCTCAAGATTTTTATTGAACTCTCTTTTTTTTTTTTTAGTAATTATTCCTTTCACATTTTTCCAAATTTGGGTACATGAATTTGGAACCTTAATTTATGCCGCTCGGTTACCTCTGCTCCACCGAAATAAGGAGGCTTAACGTGACCTATTTGCGTATTGATCCCCGAAATGTTCACCCTTTTCAACGAACTGGCCAACTAGAATTTAAGGTGGTCATAAGAAAAGCATATTGTCTGAAAGTTTTACAGTCACCAGAAAATCGCAGCTATAATAATAATTAAACTTCAATTTTTAATCTTCAAAAAATTAGAACAATTTATTGGAAACGTTTGATAACTTAGCATATTAGTTGAAATCTGCTCAACTGATAATTATTTCAGAATCAAAAGAGCAAACTTTTATCAGCATTTTGATGTGTGCAAGCAATTAGCATCTAAATGGGTGAAGTTTTTCTACCTGCTGATGCCTCATCCATAAAAAATACAAACGCAGCAAAAGCACCTAGCTATTATGCATTGAAGCGAAGAGAAAATGTTTCCTCCTGACTCACAGGAAAATATCGTCTTTGGTTTCTCTGCATTTTATGATTAACCTTACACCAATGTCCTGACATAAAACTAAAACCAAAAGGAAAATATTCAATTTACTTTTTAGTTACTCCAATCCTCATCAGAGCAAGATAAGCGATAAGACGATAACCCACAAGCATGATCCCTAATGCAACCGCGCCAAACACTTGGTCATCAAGCCCCACTTGTTTGATTGGAGGATAATCTCCAACTAAACAAACTCCTCCAGCACCATCTGCACATGAATAGGTGTCACTAGGCTTGAATTGAGACCCCAGCAACAGCTTGTATGTGTATTGACTGATGGAGATGTACTTAATCCAGCTAATGAAGGAAGGGACATGCGTAACGTAGTATCCACCAGCGAGCAGGAACGATAGCATGATTACCGATCCCATAATGGTAGCAGATTTTTGGTTCAAAACCAGTGCACCAATAGCTAGTCCTAGACCTCCTGATACTAACACAGAATACAAGAGAACAAACAAGGTATGCAAGAAGTTTCCTGGTGTGCCTTTAAGCCCTGCCATCCAGTAGGTTATAGTTAGAAATATAGTAGGAAGGACTAGCTCCATCGGGAGGTCACTGACAATCCTTGACATGAAGTATGATGACAGTCGATACATGCCAGAAGATCGTTCCTTTTCAAGCATACTGCGTTCTTGGGGGAAGGTGAAAATAGCTTGGAATAAAGGGAAGAAGCCCCAAAATCCTGCGTAAAAGAAGAGGAGCCCCATCTGCATTGTATCCAAGGTTATGATTATAGAAACAGTTTAGAAGCTAACATCCTGTTGATGAACCTGCTTTCAGAAAATGATGCATTGTTGTAAATATATTGTTACCTGATCTTGCACATGGGATACATCAGATTGCCACCACAGGAGCCCTGAAAGGAGGGCTACCACCAGGATCTGAGCAATCTTGAGGCCAGAGAAGGAGTCGTACTTTCTTTGTTTCACTCCTCTTCTCAACAACACAGAAAACTGTTGCCACCAGGTTGTGGCCCATCGTGAAACTTGCTTATCATTTAATCCATCTTGAGGCTGATCATCAATTCCTTGAACCTCTGACTTCAACTTGTTTGCAAGCTTGCTCTTGTAGGCTGAAACTAGATTCTGCTTGACAGTGCCTGGAATCTCAGTACTGTTTGATGATAAACCTACAGCAGCATAAGAATAATACAAGGTCCTTATCGATCATTTGACTGATCATTGTCATAATTAATTAGCTAATGCCTAAGTTCAACCTAAGAGCAATATACCAAATGTCATTGAATCTGTAATGAATCCACAAAATAGAAGCAGCCTTCTAGTCTAATATAGGTCAAAGCAAGATAATCAATTTCTACTTCTTAAAATTTACTCCCTCTGTCTCAATTATATGTCAATCCATATTTCCATGAAATGCTTAATTTATAAATTATATATCTGTAATTTTTATTTTTTTTAATAAAGTAGACGGGAGATCTCCCCTAGAGAGCCTAAACATAGATGTAAGATGAACTAGACGCTCAATGACAATTCACTTTAAATTTAATTGGAATGGATTAATCTAAGAGGACCAAAAAATTGGAATAGGTCTAGGAAAAATAATATGTAATGTTGTCAGCAATTGGAATTAACTCTATGGCGGTCCCTAGAGAAATGGGAGACACAGTCTGCTACGTACATAGAAACATGGGAACACAGGATATTGGGAAACTTGTACACAGAAAGTGATGAATTAATTCTAAGGATTGCATCAACACTAACTAGACAGAGAGTGAGATCGATTAACACAGTAGTAACATAGAGAAAGCATTAATTCCACCTGAATTGAATTGAATTGCATGTTTGGAAACATTTCCTAGGTATGTTCTACTATTTCCCATACATTTAACGAGGACCCACATGGTTCTAATTCCACCTGAAATTTTTTCCCAAATTTCTACATTTTCCTCATCATTAAATAGAAAGAAAGCAAAACAGGATTCAGTTCATTCAATTCGCATTGCAGTAGTTGTTTCTTTTCCTTTCTTGAATTTTGGGCACACCTCAAACAAGTCACCAATCTATATGTACAATGGATTAGATCGTCAATCTACTTTTCGTTTTGATTAGATCCCCGAAGTATTAATAAATTATCAATCGAGTCCATCCATTAGTTTTAGTTAGCACCACTTTTAAATAAACACTTGAAACTCATGTAATTTCTTTTCTTCCACCCATGAATTTATTAAAATATTCTTCTCAAGTGATAGAATAGACTATATAAAGAAACATAAGGATTTTATTTTTCTTTATTAATTATTTTTGTTGTATTATTATTTGTTTTATATATGAAATGATAGTATAGAGTATAGACTACTACTTAATAGTTTTATTACTAGAGGATCTGATTTAGAGTCAATTAATACATTGGGAACCTGATCATGATTAAACTAAATTAGAACCTTATGGAGATTGTCTCTATAAGTGGGTACTTTTTTGAGGTATATGCCTTCTTGTTTTAGGGACATCCACGCTCTGCTTTTGAAAAGAAAATTGTGGGTGCCATATCTATTTGTGGAATTCTAAAATCATCTCGAGGGAATTTAATTAAATATGTGCTCGGAAAAAGCTAACTACATTGCTCGTTTAGAAACACTAGCTATCAGCCAAACCAAATCAAAGTAATTGTCTATCTGGAAACTGAAATACGTACAAGAAATTAAACCAGCTCATTAACTATTTTAGTAAGACTTTCAGCAACTTGAATCACATATATAGACGTAAAGTACTAAAAATAACAACCACTAACAAAGCATGCAAAACTTTTGAAAGAAAAGTAGAAGCAAAGTATCACTACTTGCAAACTATATGTGTAAAATTCCTCATACAGTATACCTCAAGTACTGTGTTTACTTAAAGATTAAATAAAGATCAGTATAATTTCACATACCATTTGCGAGATCCAAAAGGAAATCAGCAGGATTCATGGGAACTGCAGGAGCATATCCAATGTTGGAAAAGTAATCCATAACTTGTGATCCCTCCCCAAAGTACAATGGGCTGCCTTCTGACAACAACAAAACTTTGTCAAACATGTAAAACAACCTACTTGAAGGCTGATGAATCGTCATCCCAATCGTTCTTCCTCCTTTTGCAAGTTCCCACAATGTCGACACAATTCTTTGAGCTGTTGTAGAGTCAAGACCTGATGTTGGCTCGTCCAACAAAAGAAGGCTAGGGTTTATGAGCATTTCTTGCCCTATGCTAACCCTCTTTCTCTCTCCCCCGGAAATTCCTCTCAAAAATGCCCCCCCAATGATGTTATTCTTGCACTTGGTTAAACCTAGTTGAGTAATTACAGATTCTGCATGCATGACCTTCTCTTCTTTAGTAAAAGTACTTTCTAACCTAAGAAGGGCAGTGAAAACCAATGTTTCTGTCACTGTCAAATGAGGGTAAAGAACATCATCTTGAGTAACAAATCCCATGTTCCTTTTCATTGAGTTGGAGAAGTTCTTGCCATTATAAGTTATGTTACCTTCAAGTAGGCCTCCAAGTTTTCCTCCTAATGCAGTTAACAGAGTTGTTTTGCCACTGCCTGATGGACCTAGCAAGGCTAGCATTTCACCAGGAAGAACCTTGCCAGTGATTCCCTTTAAGATAACCTTTTCTTCTGTTTTCACAATCTTTCCACAAAAACCTGCTTTCTTGAGTTTGACCTTGTAGACCACATCCTCAAACTGTACATTTAATCAAAATCAAGATTACATTAAGAATGCAAGAAATGGATAAAAAGAGAATTAACGAGAAAACATGCAATGAAACCATCATTTGGTGAAGCCATTTATGTCAAAATCAAAAGAAGAACAAAAAGACACTAAATTAACAGAGAAAAAAAAAGGTTAAATTCTTATTCAAGATCAATACCGTCAAAGCAACAGCCCTATTGGCTTCCTTGAAAATGGCTACAACTTCTGATTCTTTCTCATTTTGTGCCTCTATGTCAGCCATCTCTTGTTCCATGTTGGTCCCTCAATCTATGATCTCTTTCTTTCAATCTACAAACAAACGACAGGGAGAGCAAAGATTCAGCCCCTTTCCCTAGCGCGCTCCTTAAGTGAAACGTACTTCCTCTTTTCTTTCTGTCTAGTTTTGTTATACTTACATGTGTATGTAGAAGCACGTATTGTGTGTGACTCAAAAGTAGTAAATAGAAGAAGAGAAGAGAGAAAAGGAGGCTAGAATAGGGTTCATGCGAGATAAATGATGAGAAATAGAGAGACCAGTAGGGTTAAGAGAAACAAAGAGAGAGATGCTTGGCTTTTCAAGATCAGGAATGTCAACTTGTTGAAATACTCACGGTTCCATGTACTTTGGCTAATTTTGTTGGGTTGGGTTGGCTTTAAAAAAAGTTTTAGTTTGATTATGCCCGCATTTACTGCATCTCTCTCACCATTTCTGTTGTGTTGTGCTACGATACCATAACTATCTATCGTATTTGGCTCAGCTACGCCTTCTTTTTTTTTTTTTTTTTTTCAATCCCAATCTAGTCATTTGAGAAGTTATGGGATCCCCCTGCCCGTAAGAATTCTTTCTTTTTCTTTTGTATATGTTATTTACGTATTCTTACTCTTATAATTTTGCCTCGAAGACCCAAAAAGAGTGGCAATGTAGCACATATGGTTATCCTCTACAATGAAATTAATTTGTCAATTTTGACCAACGTAGGGTTTGCGATTATGATCAGGTAAGAGAAAACGAAACAAAATTAAGGAGTTTATTCAACCATTAATTGATCAAGTAGTGTTTCTTGCCTCTTGACTTGATTTGCATGGTGTGTTGGTAGAACCAAAAACAAACAAGCAAATGGGCTACGAACATTGTTAATAATCTCATGTGATTACTAGCTAGTTAGTGTTCATCACATTAAAGCCCACTATTTCTAATTCGGTTTTCAGGAAGCATAGGCCTCGAATTAAAGTATGCGATTATGTCATCTGGGTAGACTTCTTATGTGCATATTGTTACATCAAAGAAGCATATTTACTAGCTATTGTTAAGCAGGTCTACTCGTTTTATTATTCTAGAAGCAGGTCTAAAGAGAGAGAGAGGTTGCAAGAATTTTATTTTATTTTTAAGATACTAATCTGGCTGTGGATAGCTTGGCTAAAATTTGGTCTACGCGAGACAATAGTGTATCTTGACAGTTCATTCGGTCGAAAAATGAAAAAGTTGGGTTGAGTTACTTGGGCCACAACTTCCAGTGAAGCTCTAAGGCCATATTTATTTCAAAGTATTAACCCAAAGAAGAGTCCTGAATGAAACTCTGGCCTAAGGCCTCGACAAGATTTCCTTGGGGCTCTTAGGTTTGGAGACTGGTAAAAAAGATGAGGCTGGAAACACAGGCCTACAGTACGCAGCCTGCAAGGGAAAAACAAAACAAAACAAAACAAAAAAACAAACAAACCAAACATCCATGATGGGTTAAAAACAAAAGCTTTTGGCAATAGGTTGGTGTAGTGGTAAGTAAATTCTTTATAAAACCCTCGTTTATCAGGTTGTGAGTTGAAATCTCATCTGCTCTAATATACCGATAATGACAAAGTTATATCTTTATATATGATCGTAGTTATTTTTTAAAAAAATTTGAACTTTGATTCTCGTATAAGTACAATGGGAGTCAATGACGGAAGCTAGAAGTAAGAAAATTATGGGGCAACTAATGTATTTTTGTTTAAAATTATCATGAAAAAGTAAAAAAAGTATGAGGATTAAAGTTGAAAATACGACAGATTATGGGACAATTATCCCTCTACCTTAACACGTAGATTCGCCTTTGTGGATGTCATTCAAGTAAAAGAATAGTGTAAGGTGGATCTAATGTTCTTGGGATAACGTACCTATCCTTCTATTTTATTTGCATAAAAAAACTAAAACTTTTAGGGCAAACCCATTAATCAGTTGACAATAATTCATAATTTTTTTAAAAAAATAAGAAGTTGAGCAAGATCTAATGACGTGGGGAATATCTTGATTCCAATCTCAACTATGAAGATAGATATTTTAATTTATCCATTGCAATCTATTATTATGTATGATGTTTAATTATAGCTTAAACTTGTAAAAAATACAATATTTAATTCCGTTGCCAGCTTCATATATTTGCATATGAATTTGTTTAATCAACATTCAGGACCGGAAAAGCGAAAAGAATTAGAGGTGAGTGCTAACAACGTAAATTTACGATTCAAGCATAAATGCGACAAGGATAAATTTATGGTTCAACGGTTCGATCAACTCATTTTAAGTATTTCACTAAGCAGTAAATATTTTTAACTATCAAATATAACAGAAAAAATAAAATATACTTAACAATTAATAATTTGGGATTCAAATAATCTAAATTATAAGATATAACTTACTTTGCTAAAATCTCAATAATTTAATTAAGTATAAATAATACCGTTAAGCCTTTAGCTAATACAATAGGCTGTATATTGATCAATTGAATGAAACATCGAAAATCCACCCAAACCGACATTCTAACTTGTCCTCCAAGATATCTTAACAAGTCAGGATTCATGTCCTCTCATCGTTTCCGAAAAAAACCTAAAACGCCAGCTCTTTTCCATACGAGAACATTATCCTTTTTACAAAAGGCCTCGCAATTATTATTAATAGACTAAAAGAGATAAGGTTTTTAAACAGTGTCAATATTGTTCTCCCTCTTACGATATACTATTCACCTTTTTTTTTATAATTTTATTTTGGTCCTTCAAATTTTCATCCTTAACTAATACACTACATGCCCTTTTTTTTCATTTGCTTTTTTCCATCAATTTGTGTTATTTTTATTTATTTAATTGAGTATTACCCTCATAATGTACTATTCACTCTTAGTTTTTTTTTTGGTAATTTTCAAATTATTTCATTTAGGTCCTTAAAAGTTTAAAATAAAAAATTTAATCCCTAGCTCATGCACTACATGCTTTTTCTTTTCTTTTTTTTTCTTTGGTTTTTTTCCTTTGCTTTTTTTCATAAATTTATGTTCTTTTTTTATTTAATTGGGTGTTAAAATTTTTAAAATTAATCGTTACTTTTTTCCACACAAACTAACGATTATATAATTTATACGATATGTTTTTATATTTTAGAATAAATATGTACTATTTTTATTGTTCAAAATTTATCTTTTTGATTTATTATAAAAATTCTTATGAAGTTAATTTTTATTCTTATTTTTTATATAATTTAATTTTTATTCTTATTTTTATATAATTTTATTTATTAAAAAATGTGATTTATTTTCTCTATGTATGGATTCGAATAAGTTTCTTTTATATTAGTTTTTATTTGCTTAATTCTTATATAATAAAATTTTAAAAATAGAATACATGTATTTTATTTTCTTATTCTTTATATAATCAAATTTTATCGAAATCAATTTTATAGTTTTTATTTCACTCTATTAACTTTAATATATATTTTATAATTTAATTTTTTTAAAATATTTTTCTATTTATGCTATACATTCTCATCCATTAAGTGCGGTCATGATGTATAAAAATAATAATATTAGAGTCGTTGATTTTATTAGATATTAACTACACATCTACACACACAACACCAACTATTTGCTATTATTTTTTTTATATTTTAAAATTAATTTTTAAAATAAAATAATTGAAATAATATTTTAGAATAACTCGCTTAATAATTCAAATACGAGTTTTGTATGCTAATATTATTCATTATTTTGTAAATAAATAAATATAAATCAAATATACATATTTAAAAAAATAATCTTCTCATTAGTAAAAAAAATTCATTTGTTAATTTTCATATAAGTTTTTATATTAAGCTGTTGCTTTATTTTATTGATGCAATGTTATCAAAAAAATATATATATTAAGACTTTTTTTTAATTTTATATTAAAATTTGTTTATTATGGGTTTTTATTTACGAATAAATACATAAGAAAGAACAAATCATATTTCTTTTACATCAAAATTTATTCAAAACATCGAACAAAAATGTAAAGATACAAATTTTGATTAAAAATTATAAAATTAAATGAAAATTTATCTTTTATATTTAATTTAATATATTTTAGTTAATCGACAACATAGTATATATTATCAAACTGAAATAAATATATTTTGTTCGATTTGCGGCATAGTGCAAGAATCCAAACTCGTTCATATGCCTAAGATTCCTATTTACCTACCATTTATTTGCATAAAATTACTATTTACTTGATGGCAATAATCATGTTTTTTAAGCAGAAATTTTATGAAAAACACGAAAAAAAAGTAAGAATTAAATAAAAAATTAATGAAAAAATTATAAAATTATAAAATGATTTTATTCTATCTATCTACAGCGTTGCACGAATAATTTTAAAAAATTAATCTTCTCATTAGCATTAAATAAGATTTTTTTTTCATTTGTTAGTTTTTATAAAAGCCTATCCATTAATTATAATTTTATTTTTTGTAATACAATATTATGAAAAATATATATTAAAAATTTTTTTTTAAATTCTCGATCAATATTTTAGTTAAAATCAATTCATAAAAAAGAATGATTTATGTTTTTTTTAAGCAAAAAATTTATAAAAAAAAATAAATATAATTAATTAAATAAAAAATATAATTAAAAAATTTTTAAATTTTAAAATGATTTTATTCTACTATACCCGTAGTGTGGTGTGAGTAATCAGCTTGTTATTTCTAAGAGGCGAGTGGACCACCATGTCTACCCATGATTCTAAATGAGTGGTATAAAATGTAAAAATAAATGCCCTCTAACCATGTTGTCCCACCGAGGTCATTACTGGATTAACATTACCTCACGAAATTGAAAAACTGCACTTTGAATATCTAATCTTTAATTTTATCATGCTTGAGTTTTCAATAATTAAATTATTCTATTTACGCTCAAGCTTTGATTTTGTTTTTCTAATCGAGTGTTAAAAATAAAATAAAATAATACCGATATGTTCGGGATG